TTCAGAACCGTCATCTAGTACAGCAAAGGTCTCTAATGAATACTCAGCATTGTACAGATTCAGGATAGATCCAAGCTCACTCTGTACGAGCTGGCGAGGTTGACCATATTTGTCTTGGAGAGCCTGGAGTGCTGTAGTATATGGCAGGGGATCATGCATATATGCTTTTGCTAGTTTGTAAGCACTTGGTAGTTTTAACTGCTCCAGAAGGATTTGATATTTGAACTGCTCTGTGAGATGAGTATGGCTGCCGAGCAGACTGTCCAGAGCCATCTTAAGAAGCGCAAAATCACTTTCCTTACCACTGGCGAAAGAAGGTAGTGCTGGCTTGGGGATTCCATACGAGCTGGCAATTAGCAGTTCCATCAAGTTGTTGCCCTTGCTGTCAGTAGGTGGCAACGGTATCTCTGACTGTAAAGACGGCGCCGTGGGCCCACAGCCAGTTGGTCCGACTTTATCCCGCAGGCGGGACTGTAAATCAGGAAGCGGTAGAAACTGACTGGGTGTTGAGTATGGCACTGGAGGAAGCGATCCCTGATGTTTCACCTTTCCAGGAGGCTGTGATTGTCTGTTAGGGATATTAGAGCTGTCCTCTGCTGCAGGTCGGAGAGTCTGAGTCGATAGTCGGTAATACGGGGGTGATTTCCACCTAGCTGCTGACCATACTGATGACCAGCTGAGGGAGTATCCATAGCAGGACTGATATGTTGCGTTGGACACCCATGGAGACATTCAGATACTGTCTCCAGGTCAGCCGAGGAGCTGGTGGGATGTAAGGGCTGCGTATCTGGTACTAATGCATCCACTGGCAAGATCGAAGGTGGGAAAGCATTCGCATAGCTGGTCATATTACGTTTCTGTCCGTTATGTGCTGGCTGCTCCGACAGATTCACTTGGGAATTTACACCACTGCTGCAAGCCTGAAGCCCCGAGTCATACTTACAGTTATTTAAAGGTCTAGGTGGTGGCAGCCCATCTTCTTGATCACGAAGAAAAGCAGCAATGAGGGAAGCTTTCTTTAGCTCCATCTCCTTCTCTTTGAGTCGACGCTGCATTGATAGACATCTGGTAATAGATTCTCTGGTGTTGTGAGCAGTACGTGCCTCTTCGTCTAATTGACGTCTTTGCCTTTCTTGCTCCATGTATAGTTCTTCCTTACTGAGGGCTTTCCGGGCCTGAGCATCCAAGATTAAACACTGTTCCTAAGCTAGACTCTCTTCTTTCCCCAAAAATTGGGCTAAAATCGCCCCTGGCATAACAGAATAACCATCCCAGCCTGCTGCCTCTCAGCGAGAGCAACTCCAGGCTGTAGTGATGGGATTTCCGGCTCTTTTTAGAGAACCAGCTCTTTCGGCTCGGCTCACTAAAAAGAGCTTTCAGCTCCCAACCGGCTCTTCAGGTTGTTTTGTTGCTTTAATTAATTTATTATTAACAATAATGTAAAATTATGCACAAAAGGAATTACTAATGTAAAAAAAAAAGTGGTTTTATTTATATATGTTTATATATAAATATAT